TTTTCATTGCAACATCTCAATAACTATACTGCTGTAAGGTGTAGTGTTAAGTGTCCTCCATCCCTTCTGACTCCTACAAATTTTCTGCCTCCTCCTTTGTAAGATTCCCAGAGACAAGAGGACAAAGACTTTATGAGAGGAGATATCTCATCGAAGCTTGTTTCTTCCCAGGTCACTCATCTGTATTTGTGGGTATCTGTGTTTGTTTCTACAACTGCAAGAGGAAGCCTTTCTGATGAAGGGTGTGCAAGGCTATGATCTATGAATACAACACAAAGCCATAAGGAGCCATTTCATTGACATGCTCCCTTAGCAGTATAGCAGTCCTGGGTCCTGAGTCACCATCAATCCAGTCTAATAACTTTGGCCACCAAGACATTGTCTTTGATACGTTCCATCTCATGGAGTGGGAATTAAATCCAACAGATTCTCTGCTACTTACTCCCATAAGCATGGTATCACAATTACATCAGTGAATCCTAAAGACAAAACAACTATGAAGATCACAGGGCCTGCAAATGGCTTCGTTAGGAACGAAAACTTTTTGAAACCTAATATTGTCAAGCCTACATAAAAATATTTATAAGGCAACTACATTTAAGGAATTCAAAAGGCATAAATGGTAACAAACTAACACTAATCTTATGCAGTTTGGTTTAACAAAACATGAATTAAATAAAATCTGTTAGAGTGAGATGAAATAAGTCCCAGCAAAGATACATGAATTCAAATGACTGGAATTGCTGTTGTGCAGTATTAGAAAGGAACAGGGTCACAGCTTTGTAGTATAAATTAAATGATAAATTTTAAGTTGTTAGAATACTTTATGTAAATCATAGCAATCTGATTAAAGACTGAAACCAGCATGTACTTTGCCAGCTTTATAATTTTTTTTTTATTTTATATAACCAAGTCCATTTAATGAAAACAAACATTTATACACAATATTTGGGAATTTGGGCATTGTTCTTTCCAAACTACTTCCTGCTGGTAAGGGGCGCTGTCATGGGGGATTAGAAGAAGGTTCAGAAATCCTGGCTGTAATCTGTCATTTTTTGTGGAAACAAAAAAAAAAAAAAAAACAGAAATCCTTTTCCCCAGTAACTTTTCCTTGAACTTAAATTTTGGAGTCAAAGCAATTTTTTTTTAATTTAATTTATTATTTTACATGTCGATCCCAGTTCGCTCTCCCTCCCTCCCTTTCTCCTTCCCTCCCTTTCACCCTCTCTGCCCTCATACATGCACTCTAACCACCCTCCCATCCCCCCACCCCAATTGAAGACAGGAAATAGAGAGAGAGAACATAAAATAGGGAGCCAATATTAGTTTGAAGATAAAATTGAACACAAAGAAAGGTCTAGAGAACTACAAGACTGCTGCCAACTAACAATTTGAGCTTCCGTGGAAAGGCTACCATAAATGCCCTTCCCGGAGAGTAAGATCAACAACTAACTTATCCATGGAGCCCTCAACTAATGCCTATTGGAAACAGAAGCAAACACCCATACATAAACACTGAGTCGAAGTAGAACTCAGATGCAAAAGGAGAGGACAAAACCAGGCGGCAGAAACACATAGAGACAGCTTACCTGAACAAGGAGGAGCTAACAGGCCACCAGACTGATAGCTGGGAAGCCAGCATGGGACTGACTCAGGCCCCCCTAAATAAGGGTCTCAGCCAGAAGGACTGAGCAGTCTATGGGACCTCAGACAGTGGAGCCAGGATGTATCCCTTGAGCACAAAAGGACTTTGTGAACACATCCCCCATGGAGGGATAACTGCCTTAATCTAGAGACAGGAGAGTAGCCCTAGTCCCTACTTCACATGACCTGTCAGACCTACATGACCCCTACTGGATGACTTTCCCTACAGCTTTGTAAATTTTATAACTGCTTACAAAATGGCCTACATAAAATTTATTAGAAAGTTCTTAGTTTGAGCTGGAATAACACAGCTAACTTGCAATGAATATTTATGAGATTTTATTAATACAGACAGAAAATTAAAATGATTTATGTGTATGTAAGTTTATATACCAGTTACTGAGTCTTGTTTGGAAGCTTTTGAAATCTAGAAAACCTTTTTAAAAAATTTTCAATACTGTTTTCTTTTTTTTTTATTTTTTGTAAATGAGATACTGTAAATAATTTCTTTGGGCATGTTAATCACAATCAAAATCAAATCAATTCTTTTGCTTGGAAAAAAATACAAACAATGAAACACTAGACAATATATACAAAACAGATGTTTTTGAAATCCTTATCAGTATTTGGTTGAGAAATATTTCTTGATGTTGTTATTCCATCATGAAATATGTGTAGCCAGTGGTTAAACTTCCCTTGCTCTGACTAGTTCCATTTAAAATATTCCCCTTATGAGGTATGTAATACCTACAGCTGTTATAGTTTGAATATCATTTTCTTTCCACCCACCTCAATTTCATGCAGAAAGCTTATTCCTATTTTAAAGCTCACATCATATCAAATAGAAAGTTGGAAGCAAATCACAATAACTACCTTGCATCGTTCTGCAGTATTACTTCAGCTTTATACTATTTAGAACTATCACATGCAATACTATACTCAGGTAATATAACACTTTTTATAATTTTATATTTAATTGGACATAGATGGTAAGGAAATGATTTTTTAATTCTATGCATGCTTATTAGCTTAGATACATCTTTGTATGTGTTTCTTCAGTACCAACCACTAAAGTATCATTTGCCACCAGCCATATACAAGATCATGCTTGAGTGGTCTATTTCAAAGGATTTCTGAACAATTGTTCCAAGGATTTTCTTGTTTTGAAATGTGTAATATGTAGATATTCTCTGTGAATTGCTTCCGGTGACATTCCACTGTCACAAATCACCTTGGCAATATTGACAATTTCTACTTAGCAAGGCAAGATAAAAATCTTCTTGGTAATTTTGACATGAGCAGAATTTAAATATATGGTTACAGTTCATATTGAAGTTAACAATTTACTTTCCAGTTAAAATACATTCCTTCAGTTTAGTAACTCTAGAAAGAGTATACAATTATTGTATTGCATTTTTAAGTGTATAAAATAAAGTATTTAATTTTCCAGTGTCATTAGTACAAGAAAGCATGAATGAATAAGACTGTTATAGATACATGAATGATACCAGGAACTGACTTATTTTTGATGTTTTACAATTCCAACTCTTCTATGCCTGTTCCTCAATTCCTCTAGGATTTCGTGTCAATCCAGTATTTACAATTTCATTTCCTTCAAACTATGCACTTTGCATATTTCTTATGTCAGGCAAAGTGAATTAGATCATATAATTTTCTGAATATGTTGCAACATAGCCTATGTTCATGCCTTTGATTAGCAACCTTTCCTCACCCATATACATCATACTAGGTCTTCAGAACAACTCTTTCCTACAGGGTTATGCTAGTTTCATTGCTGCTGGGGTATGTATATTGAAAGCAACATTTCTCTAACACTTAATAGTCAAAATAAATAAATAAAAATTTTAAATGATGAAATGGAAAAAAAATAGAGGAAAAAACAAAAGCCCAAATATAAGGAATTGAGAAATGAGAATCTACTCTATCAACACGATTTGACTGAGAAGAATTTAGGATCTCCATTTAGCACAATAAGCAAACACACTACTGATGGTTACTGTTGGTTACTGACCTGACTTCATCTGGAATAAACTAACATCCTAACATGCAGAGCACTGCAGTGAGAAATATTCTGCTTCAGTTGAATTAGGTAGATCTACTTGCAGTGGAACACTGGAGACAGAGGGGCACACATTAATCCTGATCTTGAGGCCAGAAGACCGACACACCTTTAATCCTGATCTTGATCTTTAATGAGGCCACATGGTGGGAGCCTAAATAAGGACATGCACAGAGGAAGGTCTTCGTCTTTGCCCACTGGCCCTCACCTTGAAAAGTAAGTCTGTTCCTTCACTGGCATTACCTACTAATATTCTTAATTCCTGCAATTACTGAAGATCTAGCAGACAGGTCTAAACTCCTGGACTGAGCTAGTATTGGATTCTTAGACTTTCCCTTCATAGCTAGACACTGTGGGACTAGCAGGACTGGAGCTCCGTATCCTTCTAATGAATCCCTTTTCTTCATGAAGAGAGAGGTTCCTTCTATATGTTCTGTTGCTCTAGACAAGCCCGGTACAACACTTTTTGATACTAAAAAATGTTAGAGATGATTCAACAGTTGAGTATGATTGTGTAAAGTAGGTACCAGTTGACCTAAGATTCAATCTAGAGACGAGAATGGGGGAAGTAACTCTCAGTAGTACCTTAAACTGTCTTCTCTGAAACTAATATTGAGATCTGGACAGAAAATTTTAGAGACACCCGAATCTCCAGCCCCTTAGTGGTGGGAACAGAGAGGAAAGCAGAAAATAAAAGTCTAAAAGCTATCTGTGCTGATATTTAGCTTAGGATTTATTAAAGCCATATAAGTAGTTTATGACTTATTAAAGTGATCAAAATGGAAAAGCAGCCATACTAGTGAAGCACAAAAGCCAGGCAGACACCTATCAATCGCAGACCAGGAAACAAAGGCAGATGGTTCTCTATGTGTTCAAGTACATCCTGGGCTACACACAAGATTGAATGAGTCTGAAAGAGTAAGAGAGCTCACTTCCTTGATCCCAGAACTAGTGTGGTAGAAAAGATAGGAGCCCCGTCTTGTGTAGTCAGTCAGTCAGTCTCAGGATTATCTCCAGGAGCTGAGGAGAGGCAGCATTCTGATGCTTGGGGAAAGTTCGCAAAGACTGAGGTAGGCAAGAGCTAGTGGCTTGTGGCTTTGCCTCTCTGGTTTTCAGTTTGAAGCTTGAACCCCAATATCAGTCTCTGGCTTTTTTATTTTTTGTGTTGTAGATATCTGTAATTGTTAACTCCCAGGTTGAAAACGAAAAAGTCCTACTTCTTCATTTTGGATCCAGGTTTATCCTTAAAATGACCACAAGCAAATAAGTTGGGGACATGGCAGCCAAAAGGGAGAGCTGGGGCTACACAGAAATCAGCTTCCAGAAATTCTGCTACAGCTGGACCATAAGCAACTTCCGTTTTTTCCTGCAGGAAATTAGGGAAGCCATTAAAAGCCCAACCTTCTCATCGGGAGCCAGTGACAAAAGCCAATGGTGTCTGAAAGTACACTCAAAAGGGATTGATGAAGAAAGCAAAGATTACTTATCAGTTTACCTAGTGTTGCTCAGCTGCCCAAAGAGCCCAGTATGGGCAAAATTCCATTTTTGGATCATCATCAATTCTGAAGGAGACAAAACCCAAGGCATGAAGAGCCCAAGATTCTTCAGGGTGCTGCAAAATCAACACTGGGAATTTAAAAAGTTCATCCTTCGAGATTTCTTTTTGTCCCTGGAGCCTAGGCTCCTTGAAGAAAATGAGCTGAGCCTCGGATGCCAGGTGACTGTGGTCCAAAACTCCTTAGACATGCCTGAAAAGAGCACGACGCCAGAGATCCAATTTCCAAGGTGCACGATGGCAAATGAGCCAGGAGAGCTGTGTGAGAATTCCCTCTCCACGGACTGCTGCCTGGTGGTAGTTGGCCGGGAGTTCCTGGCTCAGAAGGCCATCTTAGCAGCTCGCTCTCCAGTTTTCAGAGCCATGTTTTAACATGACATGGAAGAGAGTAGAACAAACCACGTTGAGATTCATGATCTGGAGCCGCAAGTCTCAAGGCAATGGTGGTTTTCATTTACACTGGAAAGGCACCAGATCTCTACAACATGGCAGATGCTGTGCTGGCAGCTGCTGACAAGAATGGTCTGGAACATTTGAAGTTCATGTGCCAGGATGTTTATATAGTACATCACACTGACAGATTTTTTAAATGTTAAACCATCCCTGCAAAACCATCCCAAGTAGGGATCAAGCCTACTTGGTGATGGTGCATGATTTCTCCGATGTAGTCTTGGATTCAATTTTCCAGTATTTTATTGAGTATTTTCGCATAAATGTTCATCATGGCTGAACTGCACAGTGCTGGGCTTAAAACCCAGGTACTGAAATTCATTATAGCTCATGCTTCAGAGGTGTTCGGTAGTGAACCTTCTGTTTCTATTCTGAGGAACAATGTGAGGAGTATTGGTATTAGCTCTTTCTTGAATTTTTTGGTAGAATTCTGCACTGAAGCCATCTGGCCCTGGGTATTTTCTTTTCTTTCTTTCCTTTTTTTCATATTTTTTTTTCGTTTGGAAGCATTTGGGTGACTGCTTCTATTTCATTAGTGGTTAAATGTCTATAAAGCTATTTGTCTGTTCTTGATTTAATTTTGGTAAGTGATAGTTATCCAGAAATTTGTCCATTTTCCTTGAACTTTCAAATTTTGTGGAGTACAGGTTTTCTGAGTATGACCTGAAAATTGTCTGGATTTCCTCTGTGTCAGTTGTTATGTCCCCCTTTTTATTTCTGATTTTGTTAATTTGCATGTTCTTGCTCTGCCTTTTCCTTTATTTTGGATAAAGGTTTGTCTATCTTATTGTTTTCTCAAAATAAAAACAACTCTTTGTTGAACTGATTTTTTTTGTATTTTCTTTCTTATTTCTACTTTATTTTTTCAGGCCTCAAATACCATGGTGTCTACTCCTCTGTGGTAAGTTTGCTTCTTTTTATTCTAAGGCTTTCAGTTGTGCTGTTAATTCTCTACTATGAATATCCTCCTGTGTCTTTATATTGGCACTTAGTGCAATGAACATCCCCTGTAGCACTGCTTTCAAGGTGTTCCATAAGTTCGGGTATGTTGTGTCTTCATTCTCATTGAATTTTAGGAAGTCCTTAATTTCTTATTTTATTTCTTCTTTGACCCAGGTATGGTGCAATTGTGCATTTCTCAGTTTCCATGACTTTGTAGGGTTTCTGTAATTTGTGTTGTTGTTTAATTCCAACTTTAAAGCATGGTGTTATGATAAGATACAGGGGACTATTCCAATTTTTTTGTATCTGTTGAGGTTTGTTATATCACCTAGTATGTGGTCGATTTTAGAGAACATTCCATTAGAAGAAGGTATAGAATCTTATGTTTAGATGGAATGTTATATAAATGTCTGTAACACCCAATTGTTAAGTTTCTGACTGGAGGTCCTGCCTGGTGCTGAGAGTGGTGTGTTGAAGTCTCTATAATTTATGAGATTTTATGTGATCTTTGAGTTTTAGTAGTTTTTCTTTTATTAATGTGGGTGCCTTTGTGTTTGGGGCAAATATGTTCAGAATTCAGACTTTGTGCTGATGGATTTCTCCTGTGATGAATACGAAATGGTCGTCTTCATCACTTTTGATTAATTTTGCTTTGAAATCTAAATTGTTAAATATTAGAACATCCACACCTGCTTGCTTCTTGGGGCCATTTGATTGGAAGGTCTTTTCCCAGCTATCTTTGTAGCTTAGATGTGTTTCTTATATGCAGTTGAAGGAAGGATTCTGTCTTTGTATCCATTCTGTTAGACTGTCTTTTTCTAGGTGAGTTAAGACCATTAATATTGAGGGAAAGTAAGGACCATTGTTTGTTATTGCTTGTTTGTTTTAGATTTGTTGTTGGCATTGGTATTGTTAATATATTTGTACTGCTTTACTCTTGGGTTCTGGTAAAGTAGGATTATCTATTGCCTATGTCTTTGGGAGCATAGTTAACTTCCTTAAGTTGGAGTTTTCCTTCCAGAACTTTCTGTAGGGCTGGATTTGTAGATAACATATTGAAAAAAAAATCTGGATTTGTCATTAAATATCTTGTTTTCTCCATCTATAGTGATTGAGAGTCTTGCTGGCTATAGTAGCCTGGGTTGTCATCCATGGACACTTACTACTTGTAGTACATTTATCCAGGATCTTCTGCCCTTGAGAGTTTCCATGGAGAAGTCAAGTTAATTTTGTTAGGTCTGCCTTTGTATGTTACATGGCCTTTTTTGTTTGCTGCTTTTAATATTCTTTCTTTATTTTGTATGTTAGGTGTTTTGATTATTATGTGTCCAGGGGTCTTTTTTTCTTTTCTCCAGTCTATTTGGTGTTCAGTATGCTTCTTGTACTTTCATGGGCATGTACTTCTTAGATTGGGAAAGTTTTCCTCGATGATTTTGTTGAATATGTTTTCTGCACCTTTGAGCTGGGCTTCTTCGCCTTTCTATATACCTATTATTCTTATTTGGCCTTTTCATAGTGTCCCCCATACCCTGGATGTTTTGAGTTCAGAATTTGTTGGATTTATGATTTTCTTTGGTCAATGAATCTATTTCTTCTAGTTATTTTTAGCGCCTGAGATTCTCTCTTCCATCTCTGTTGGTTATGCTTGTGTCTGTAGTTCCCAATCATTTGCCCCGTTTTTCTATTCCAGTATTCATTCATTTTTTTTTTTTTTTTTTTTTTTTGTCTTCTTTATTGTCTCTATTTCAGTTTTTAAGTCGTGGTCAAGTTTCCTTCACCTGTTTAATTGTTGTTTTCTTGGCTTTCTGTACTTTCCTTAGGGAATTTGTTCACTTCTTCCAATTTTTTTGTTTTTTTGTTTTTTCTTTCATTTCTTTAAGGGATTTTCTCCCATTGACATTGAGGACCTCTATCAATTTATGAAGATATTTTTAAGTCATTTAATGGGAGATGTCATTCTGTATATGTTTCTTATACTGGTTAATAAATAAAGCACTGTTGTCCAATAGGAAAGGAAGATAGGAGGGATTAGGAGACAGAAAGGAAGTAGTAAGGAGGAGTCAGCATGGAAAGCCTGGAGAGAGCAGTATGCAGCAGCTGGCTCCAGTAAGAAGAACACGTGGACATATATAGAAATGGGTTAATAATTAAGACAGAGCTACCCGATAAGAAACAAGTAACCGGCCCAACAGCATTGTATCAAATATAGAGTCTCTGTGTGATATTTGGGGCTGGTGCATCGGCGGGACAAAACCAGGCGGCGGTGGGAGGAAAAACCTGTACTTCTTACAAATGGCGCCCACGTGGCTAGTAAGAACTTCCACTTAAAATTTAACAAAAGCTTAAAAAAGGGTTTTAGAAACAAAAGAACAGAGACAAGCAAGGTTTCTTGGTAGCAGCATTTTTCTCGGTTGGACTCTGCTTTGTGAGAGACAAGCAGATATTTGCACGGCTCCTTTAAGGGAAGGTTCCTGACTCAGCATAAGCGGCAAAAAACTGTATGGCTTTTAAATAACTTTGCTAACAATTTATTGGTGTGTATGAGAGATGGCAATGGCAGTGATCACATCTCCAAGCCAGCAGCATGCTTGCTAGATGGCAGCGCAGACCAAGGCAATGGGCACAGCTTTCAGTGTTGGCGGTAAAAGTACCTGCCGCCATCTTTGGTAATCCACAGCAGGAACAACTATGACTTTTATTTTAACAATGTTGTTGTTTACCAGATAAAAGACTTGTGGCCAGAAAAAGATAAAGATTTACAGTAAAGACAGATTCACATGAAGAAAAACCTCTAAAGGTTTACAGTGTGTTTTAAAAAATATTTGTAGGCTTGGAAGAAAAAGTGAAAAAAAAAATGGAAAGGTTTTAAAAAGACAAAGAGGAACTGGGTGTGGTGGCACACACCTTTAATCCCAGCACTTGAGAGACAGAGGCAAGCAGATCTTGTGATTTCAAAGTAAACCTGGTATGCAGAGTGAATTCCAGGACAGATAAGAGTTACACAGTGACACCCTGTCTCAAAAATGAAAAAATAGAAGAGAGTGATAATAAAGATAAAAAGCTCAGAGAGAATCTGGTTACTATATGGTATTGTCTTTGTATTGTTTGATTGCTGAGGAAACAACAACTGTTAAAAGAAATGCTGGTGGATTAATTCAATTTATATATTTTAAAAATGCTTTGACTCAAAAAATTTAAGTTCAAGGACAAGTTACTGGGGAAAAGGATTTCTATTTTTGTTTCCACAGAAAATAAAAAGCTGTGGATTCCTTCCACACTAATGTGGTTTGATCAAGCCAGGCCCCCTGAAACAGAGTCGCTGGTGATCCAACATTCAAAACAGCTGAACAAAGCAGCCTGGCAGACTACAACCAGAATTTCTGCTTCTTCTTAGGATCCCCATGACAGCGCCCCCTATCAGCAGAAAGTAGTTTGGAAAGAACGACACCCAAATTCCCAAATATTGTTTATAAATGTTTGTTTTCATTTAAATGGACTTGGTTATAAATGGTTAATGATCACAGCCAGTTCTTTTTAAAGGTAAAAAGGGGATTATGGTATAGATATGAATACTTTGTTTTGGAATGGATTTTCATTTATTGATACAATTTAAGGTCAATTTTGTGATATGTGTATTTCTCTTGTTTAGGTATTGTTTTTAGAAATGTAATGTATAATGTAGTACATACAGATTATAGATAATTACCTATGATAGTCAAAGCTTAGAGTTAAGTTAGTTAGGTTTTCAAGATAATCAGAGATGTATTTGAGATAGAAATTCTTCAAACCTTTCAAAGACCTACAGAATATGGCATTTAAACCCGTACTTCTTACAGTCATTCTCTTCTGCTTCATATGATTTGGGGTGTTCATGTCTAGTTGGTGTAGAGTCCCTAGATCCTGTTGGTGTCATGCTTACCTTTGTATTGTTAGGTGTTTTCTTGTATTGCTATCTTTCCATTGTTTCTTCCAGTAGTTGC